GCACCCTCTCAAAGAAGAATTTGTCAACACTATATCCAGGTACAAGTATGTCTTCACTACTTGTGCATTGCTCAACCAAAGTACCACGATACTGAGCTTCTTCATGGCATTGGTTGGAATAATTGTTTAAATCATCAGCATTAAGAACACCGAATGCACATGGAATTATAAATATTTAACATATAAATTATAAACTTATAAATTCATTATAACTTTTTTTGTAGCCAAAATTGTTACTTTCTTCTGTGACTTTATTACCAGCCATGCAGAGTGCACCTTGTTATAGAGTTGGAAATGAGTAACTTGAAAGACAGAACCTTGTTGTTATTGTTACTTTTGTGGAGGTTAATAAACCTTCTCTGCCTCAGTAAACGTAAATCCAAGTGTCAAACAAAAGAGGATATTGAGGAGGGATAAATAAAAAAAAGAAAAAAAAATTATGTCTATGCAGTTACTGGTAGCATCTATCTGTGGCCATTGCTAAGGCAACAGAGAGAGAAAGTGGTGAAATTAGAAGTGAAATAGATATTTGATGGTGGTGGTTATCAATGGTGTCTCTTCCTCAGCATTTCGGTGTTGACATCAAATGCTTGTCTGTGTTGCTTCTGTTTGGGGCACTTTTTCATCATGGTAGGCTCATTGTTAAGCAAATCAGTGAAGGTACTTAATGACAATATCACCTAACCAGTAAAAATTAATACAGAAATTTAAAAGAGTTAAAACTTTAAATTATTCTAATTAAAATTAAAAAAAATGAAAACAGTTCTTGTAAAAATTCATTATTCATCAAAAAAAATTTTTCTGTATACAATAGTGTCCACAATATTTCGTATTCATAAAGCCAATTAAAAGCTTTTCTAATTAAATAATGCCTTAGATTTATTGCATTTTTTATTGTATGATTCGGTGATTTTCTCTAACTGGAGGTCCTGTTTTACAAAAAAGTCTACTGTGATTAATTTTATAGTTGGAAAGACAAATAATGCTGTCTTGGTTAAAAACAGTTGAAAGCATTGTTTGTAAATTCAGTTTAAATTATCATCCTGTTTTAAGCAGACATTTTGGAGCATTCATTTTATTTAATGGTAGACTTAATAATTAGAAAATCCTAAGCAATGATGCAGAATGTCCTGCATTATTGGTTAGGATTTTTTAATTATTTTTTTTCCTTTAATAATTTCACTCCAAGTAAGTTAATAAAGTCTTTTAGATGCAAGTAGTTACTGAGTATTAGTGACTATGAGAAAACAATAGGAGAGAAAGTACTAAAGGAACAGGAAGTAACAAGACAGAAAATAATGACCAACATTGCATCTAAACTTTGAAAGAACATAGTTGAAGAAGCCAGAAGGGAGTTACTCAAGCAAAAAGTGCAATAGAAGAATCTGTTAGTCATTTCAGCTGTAAAATTATTGTAGCATACCTATGGACAATAATGGGTATGTCCCCATTCACATAAATGCAGTAGTAAATACTGTATGTTGGTCTGCAGTTGGAGATTTATTCTGGAATTCACTTGACTCACTTCTAGCAGTTGACTACTTCTTCTACGCACCACTGGTGAATCTTATATGTGTTGTTCTTGTCCTAAGTATTATCATTCATTACCAACCCTCAGTTGATTATTCTATTCAATAATCTTCCCTAGATTACAACACATGTATATTGAAATTTGAAATTATAAAACAATATGTTAATTTTCTGTTTGTAAACTTTACTTATACAATACACACTGTTGTAGCATACCTACAGATGATAATGGGTATGTCCCCATTCACATAAATACAGTAGTAAATACTGTATGTTGGTCAGCAGTTGGAGCTTCATTGTGGAATTCACTTGACTCACTTCTAGCAGTTGACTACCTCTTCTATGCACCACTGGTGAATCTTATATGTGTTGTTCTTGTCCTAAGTATTATCATTTGTTACCAACTTTTGTTTGGTTATTCTATTAAGTAACCTTCCCTAGGTTACAACGAAAATGAGGAGACCTTGCTGCCAATCTAGTACTGTGCTTAAATTCATAAAGTCTAGGTACCATCGAGGAAAGTTCATCAAAACAATTAACATGAAAGTATTTATAGACAGGTACAGGGAAGCTGTGTTGGGGTGGTGGTGGGAAAGTGACTGAAACCAAGATACCAGATCAGGACTAATAACATTGCAGATTCTTCTTTGGACTTCATCGAGAATTTCTAAATATATAGCAGGGCCATTAGACCAAATGTGGAAGCAATATTCAAAGCAAGGATGAATGGTAGACTTAAATAAATATGTAAAATAGATTCTGGCAAGTAAAATTGTCTAGCAGGAGTGCAGGACACAGTGAACCGACTTTCTTAGCAGCAGACCTAGCAATTGATTCAATATAATCTTTCCACTTCATGTCAGTAGAAAACATTAGTCCAAGCAGATCCAATATGTCACTCACCTGGAGGTTAGAATCAGCCATGCAAAAAAAGTTCTCTCAGATGATTAAAAGAGAACAGTTTCATTTTGGAGGCATTAAAATTAACAAGTCATTTCTTGCCCCAGTTAAGAGAAAATTGTAGGTCATTTTTGAGACCAGCTGCCAATTCGACCTAATCGAATCAATCAGACTTACTATAAAGATGTGAATATATAGTTTTCGGCATAGATACCGAGTTGAGAACTGATGACATCAAGAAGGTCATTGATGAAAACCAGGAACAGCGTAGAGCCAAAGACAGAGCATAGAGGACACCTACATTAATTCAAAAAGATCGAGAAGCATAGCCATTCAAGACCACTTTCATTTTGTAATTTGATAAAAACTGAATCAGTTCAAAAATTTTTCCAGAAATATAATAAACTCTTTTGTTACAATTTCTTAAGTTTTTGACATGTGCCATTCTTATTTTCTGACAATCATGGATTTTCTAAAAAAAAAAAAAAAACCTGAAAAATGCATTTTAAATAATTCAAATATCTTTGGAGTTAGATTTTGCTTTTATCTGAAAGATAATAGCTTCATTCTGTATTAAGAGAAAAATTAATTTCCGTATGTGATTAAATTTTTTGGGCATTTTTAAAACGTCGGCACATTCACTTGTCACCCATCAAACCACCATTATTCATAGATGAAAAATGTAAATAACTAATTTAAAAATCTCTTCAAAATTTAATATGTATCCTAAAGTTGGGTTACGAAGTAATTTAGTAAATTTAATGATTAACTGGATTTTGTAAAAGTAATGCTTTTACTTAAAATGTAATGAAAGTAACATTTATTTATGCATGGTAGCCTGTAAGTTAAAAACAAAAAACTGTATAATTACATCCCTAACTTAAAAAGCGCATAAAAAATTTGTAATGAAATTTAATGAGATATGCAACACCAATAATCAAGAAATTGGTATTTCATTATTCACTGGCATACAAGTGATTCTTTTATTTTTTTCTCTAAAATTATTATAATCCTATATAAACAGTAGTTTAAGAATACAATACTTAGTAATAGTCAAAGATTAGAAAACAGAATTATTTCCATTTTGTACAACCATAGAAAAAATAAAATTCTAACTAAAAGGAAAAAATAAAATTCTTTTAAAAAAGTTCATTCTCAAAAATGGTATGAAACTTTACATTTTTTAATTCTTCAAACATGTCTTTATTTAATAAAATAAACTCTTGGGATGAATTTCGAAATCGTATTGAAAAATTACAAGAAAATGTTTGGATAAATAAATATTAAGTGTAGATTTTTTTTGTCCATAAGAATTCTGAAAGAAAATAATGAATCTTATTAAATTATGAAGGAACCAAGTCTTAAAAAAATTATTTTTGAGTTTTATTGAATTATTTTTGTTAAGATTCAGGACAAATTTTGTGTATATTGACACTTGATATTGCATAATTTCTTTTACTGAAATAACATCTTCAGGGATTTTTCTTTATATAACTGTGAAAAGAAAAATTTGATGCTCTCCTGAACACATGATATCTAAAAATGGGGAAGAAACAGACCCTTCCCTCAAATATTTCCACAAAGCTTTCAAATAAACCTACTCAGTATTCAGGTCATTCAGTAATGAATATGCATTAAAAATATTGTTTGAATCAGATAATTCCATGAATTTTGGCAAATATTTTAAAACGAGGTGTAGGGATTTTTTTTTTTTTTTTTTTTTCATTTTGGAAAAAAACTCATTCCATTTTAGTAGTTCCTAGTTATAACAAATTTTTTACACTTTAGTTCAAAAAGTGATTTCCCTGATGGAGAAAAGGATGCAGGTTCAATTCCTGTCTGAGGCAGTTGCTATTAATTTCACTGCTTAATAAAATAAAAGGTGGGGATAGAAACTCAAACATGTCTACCCACTAAAAAAAAAAAACGTTTTTAGATATACAGGGTGCAGCAGAAATCCCTCTTACATATACCTCCCAACATAATGGTAAGAGATAGCTAGATGAAGACACCATTGCCACTAATGTCTTACCATTTCTGCCAGGAAGGTAGGGTGGACTAATGGATAGTGGTTCGGTTGCAGTATGATGTCAGGTCTCTTGTAGAAGCCTGTTAGTTGACATGACCTCTAGAATTTATATTTAACGCAAAATACCACAAAATATGAAACATATAAGAAGGAACACAAAACAGTTTTATAACAAGAACAATATTTATATTTAAGTATGTAATGATGAGGAGGCATGGTAGAGTAATGGATAGCGGCTCAGATTGAGAAATCGGAGAGCTGAGTTCAAATTCCAGTTGAATCCATTACATACTTACGTGCTAAGACCCTTGGGAAAGGTATTAATCCTCTTCTTCTCTCTCCAGCTATGGGTAAATAGCAGGACAGACTGGGTTCTATAGCCTTAGATGGCAACTGGTCTACTGCAGAAAGAAATGGCAACCTACTGTGGGGAAAAAATCTATCTTGTCAGTCATGTATCGAAAGATACATGATCGCCTAACCATGTATCATGCATGGCACATAACGGACTGATTGCTACATTTCAATCTCAGTTTCTGCTTATGGTCAAATCATGCTGAAAACACCTGTTCTCTTTCAATCACCAAAGTTAAGCAATGTCAAGCCTGGTCTGTACTTAATTGGGGGACTGCTTGTGAACACCAGCTACTGTTCTACAATCCAAAATGTGTTTCAGCTTTAAATAACCTACAAAGGGTTGATAAGTCATAAATAACACCTCAGTCACCAATTAAAGGGGTTTACGGCCACACTGTTTTGAAACTTTGGTCCTTGTACAATCACTGAAGTTAAGTGACATTGAGCCTGGTCAGTACCTGAATGGGTGACAGTTTGGGAATACCAGGTGCAGTAATATTGGATGTGGGGGTGGTGTAATGGATAATGGCTCAGTATTGTTAATCAGAGAGCCGAATTTCAATTCTCATTGGGTTTCTTGTATTCAGTTATATGCAAATACTCTTGAGGAAGGTATAAATCCACCTCTTCTCCTCCCAGCTATGGGTTAATTAGTAAAACTTGTATCACTAAACCACTATTATCTAAAAAAAAAAAAAAAAAAAAAGTAAAAAAATTCTTACAATCAAAAAATATTTTCTGGCAAGAGGGTTGATAATCTGTAAAAAAAACAAATCAATAAGTCAAAAACAGTACAGTTAAAGTCATTCAGAGCAGGTGCAGTTACTGTATTTCTAAGTAGATTATTCTAATCATCCAAGATCCTTTTAGCAAAGGAGTTCTTTCTGTTATCTATTCTTGAAAATCTATTTTACAGCTTCTTAGAATGTTTTTAAAATTGGCATCTGGGCACTGCTTAAATATGTCTCAGACTGAGTTACATAATTTCCTGATAAATATCTGAATGTTTCTTTCATATCTGTTTGCTTCCTCCTTTCAGCTATTGCTGGTAAAACAACCACATATCAATTCTTTCTTTCTTATTTAATCTTTGGGATGTCTCTCTTCTTTGCACTACTTTAGTCAGGGATTGAACTCTTGACAGCCAGCTAATTTGATTCTCTTGGCTCTCTACTCTGTCCCTCAATTGCAGTAAGGATGAGTTCAGGTTGAAATTCCTGTAAAGTTACCAACTGCTGCAAACGCTAAAGATCAGAGGTCTTCTATGTTCTGTTTCCCTTCATTATGTAGGCAGTCATGGTTTTCCACAACTTCCTATTCTTTGTAGCTTTTAGCAATGTTGGTCTTTTTAACATCCTTGTTCTGCCATTCATGCATACAAGCACATCTGGTCTGTGGCCTGCTGCCTCCCACCGTTCTTTTGGCCTTCAACATGTCATGTGAGTGTTATATTCTCCAATCCCCCTTTCTTCATTATTTGTCCCAGAAATTTTAATTTCTGTTTCTGATTCTAAGTGTAAGTATCCTTTTTATTAAATGTCTAGAGCAGGTATCTACATATAAATATTAGACTGGCACAAGGCCAACATTAGATGTCAGTGAAAAACAAATCCACAAATTGAGATCTGCAAATTCTGCCCAGATGGATTCTTCTTCAGAACTGTTAGTTGTGGAAAACTCCCCAAAGGATGCTTTCCTGAAATACTGAAATCTTGGCTGCTTCATCATTCATTATCTATCCCATGTGTCCTCGTATTAATCACCTCTTACTCCCTTTTTGTACGCTCTTAAATTGACCTCCTTCAATAACCCTCTAACTTGAGTGGCTCTCGGGTCTTGTATTGGGTAGGTATAAAAATATTATTTTAAGACATTTTTATGTTTATACATTCTTTTTAAAATGATTGTCGGACTTTGTCCATTTCATAAAAGTATTAGTTATGAACCATCACTCTATTTTTTTATATAAATTTTTCAGTTTTATTCAGATATAAAGTCGTAGTAGTGGGCCACCTAGTTTGGACCAAGCTCACTATCTTAGCTAATGTCTGAGAGCTGAGCTTGTTAACCATGACTGTACAATGGTTATATTTTGTAAGTTTTGTTTGAGTCAACAAAATAACCACAAGAGGAGAGCATTCAAAAGTTGACTTGCTATGGAGTCTGCATTGGAGCTACACAGTCACCACTTTTTGGTCTTGATAGAGTTCAGAACTGTTATACAACCTTATGAATTATTTCTGTCTGTACAACGCCTTTCCCTCCAGACAAAATGTCACAAGACTGTCGTTAGTCTATTGCTATTTCCATGTCAAAGGATCTAACTAGCTACATTTCTTGGTTCCACCGGCTATGTACACTGGAATGAATTATCTCCATTTTCTTTATATTTCATTAGTGAAAAAGAAATTCCATATGGACAGCTTCCCCCTTGTTGCCTGCTGGTTTGTGGAACAAACTCCTGAGAGGATGCTTCCTTAATTATGACAAACTTAACCATGACAACTCTAGGGTCAGTCGTTAACTATCCTATATATCTTCATAAATTGCAATTCTTATCTCCTCTTGTGTTAATACAACAACTTCATTCAGTAGCCCTCTACCTTGGATGACTCTTGGGCTTTGTATTAGGTGAACATTTATAGAAATATGGTGTCATATTATCTGTTTTAGATGAAATCAAACATTTATTAATATTTCATTTCATTTAATCTTAAGTCCTTAATTATTTTTCATCACAACTTTGTGAGATGTGTCAGTATCCAGCAGCAAGCAACAGCATCATGAATTAGAAAAGATGAAAGATAAGTTGCTGTTAAGAGGAACTTGAGGAAGCCTGCTTAACCATATCAGCTGCTTTTGATGCTTGAGCTACAAAGAACTTTCTGGTTAGCAGAAGATCAAATCTAACGTTATAAACCTATCTATCACTCTTGATCTCTCTCCATGCCAAATTTGCTATTGTTTTGCTACAAGTCGTTTTTTTTTTCTTTCTTCTTAAAGACTTTTCCCTTCAGGATGTAGGCGATCATGACTGTCCACAGATTTCTTTTCTTTGTTCTCTGCAAATTGCCATGATTCTTGAGAAAGATATGGAATGGTTCCCCAGTGATTTCTCCTCATTTTTAAATTCAAAGTAGTCTTTCTCTTGGATTGGCAACCACCCAAGGCTACTATTTAACCCATACCTGGGAGGAGAAGAGAGGGATTAATACATTCTCTAAGGATATTTGTGCAAAAGTGAACTCTGTAAACTAGGTTGGAATTTGAATTCCACTTGTTAATTTCACTTTTTTTTTTTTTTCTTTTTCTTTTTTAAATTGTTAATGTGTCATCTAATAAATAAAAAATATTCAAGATAATATTACTACTAATACTAAGAAATGCTGTTGGACGTGTCTGAGGAAGTCTGATGCAGCCGTGAAGTCATGATTGATAAAGGTAGAGAAGTGCTCTTGCCATCTCACTAGAATGTCTTTAGTTTCGGTGGGTTTGGTAATGTTGTCAGCCACTTTCAGGATGAACATAGACTTCTTAACAGGACTGAAAACCTTAATTCCTGCGAAGAATTGTCTCATATTTTGTCTGTCACTATATTGTTGTAGTTCTTTGTTTCTCCACCAGTGGTTTTGGATGCTGCAGAGCTCCCTTTGACACTGAGCCTTGAGATGGAAGAATTTGGTTCTCAGTCACTGACTTTGATGAGCTGGACACCTTAGCCTAATGCTAGACATCCACCTACCCAAACAAATCCTTTTCTCAGAGCTCACATCTGGCAAGAGGCCACATGGATTCAAGGATCAGCTCAAAAGCACCTTGTTGAAGACAGAAATCAATCCGGTCATTTGGGAAATGGAAACTACAGAAAGAACCAGTTGGAGAAGAGTAGTCCATGAAAAAACTACATCCTTTGAAAATACCAGAAGACAAATAGAAGAGCGGAAAAGAAACCAAAGAAAAGCCAGAGCTCTCCATTCTTTGAACCCTACCATGCAGTAGCATTTCAGAAAGAAGGAAATGTTGATAAGCACCCTCAATACTTGGCAAAGAGTTCTGCCAATGACAACTATGAAATGAAAAGCAATTAACATTAAGATTAAAGAAATAAGTCCCGAGATATTACAACTAGTATGAAGAAAAGAGCAGTGTTAAATATGACCCTTCAAAGCAGTTGCAGAAAAATAACATATGCGTTTATATGGTTTTAATCAGTTTGCAACTGTTGGTTGTTATAGCTTTTGGATTTAAAAGGGATAACAATTCAAATAATCTAAATTTATTTTTAACTTTTTAAAATCTTTTCACCCTAAGCAATGCAATAAAGCCACTAAGACACAAGGACCTCCCGAGAAAACATTGCTGGAGGAAAAAAAATAAAGACAAGATTTAAGTAGATAGAAAATGACAGTTGACATTGCATTAAATTTTTGAAGGTTGTAGTTAACAAGAAGCTGGAAGAGATTTCCACAGGTAAGAAGTGTGAGAGAAGAAAGCATTAGAATATAACTGGTACATTTTTGGAAATTTTGACAATAAAATAATGAGACCTATCTGCCAATCTAGTACTATGATTAAATTCATGAAGTTGAGATATCAGAATAATTGCCATGAAAATATTTATGGAAAAGGCACAAGGTAGCTATGTTATGGTAGTGGGAAAGTGATTGAAGCCATGATGCTAGGTCAGGACTGATAACATTGCCGATCCTTATTTGGATTTTGTCAAGAATCTCATGATACATAGCAGAATCGCGAGACATGATATTGTAAAAATATTCAATGTAAAGACAAATGGTAAACAGACAGATTCAGGGGAAAATTGTCTAGAACGATACAGTGAACAAGCTTTCTCAGCATCAGACTTAGCAATCTGGCATCTAGCCGAGTGTAAATATTGATTGATAAGGAAAGTTTGTAACAGAAAAATTAATATAAGAATGAGATTGGTGTCATCAGGTATAAAACAGAAGGCAGTAACTGCGACCTTGCTAACCAGACGCTCCTCTGTGGCCAAATTGGTTAAAGGCACATCAGGCTATATGACAGTTCCGTATAGGATACAGGTTTGATTCCTGTCGGGAGATGAATATTTTCTATGAAAATTTCTTGGACATTCAGACTGGTAAATGTTTAATACTGTTTATTATAAACAGAGCATTTACTTAATTTGTATCTATAAAAAGAATGTATAAACATAAAAATATCTTATATATATATATATATATATATATATATATATATATATATATATATATATATATATATTTATAAATTAATTGATTTAAAATATGGTT